CTAACATCTATTGCCAATCCTCCTCCTTTTTTTTTCCTCAAAGCCCCAGCAGATAGTTGTATGTCATAGTTGCACATCCTTCTAGTTGCTGTATGTGGGACGCAGCCTCAGCATGGCCGGAGAAGCAGTGTGTCGATGCGCGCCCGGGATCCGAACCCAGGCCTCTAGTAGCGGAGTGCGCGCACTTAACCGCTAAGCCACAGGCCGGCCCCTCCCAGGTCTTTTTAATCAGTCAGTATTGAGCAAATATTTTTTAATCTCCTTCTACGTGCAAATCACTAAGTCAGGTCCTGTGGAAACTATATTGTATATGTGAGACATAGCCCCTGCCCTCAGGGAGCTCACTGTCTAATACAGGAGGGTAGACAAATATAAAGTAACTATAGGTAAAGATACTATACATTATAAAAACCATTAAAATAGCTCAGAGTGCTGAAGATATTTGGAAGAAGATGATTTCTGACTAGGAAGGCAACAAGAAAGACTTCACAGAGAGAGGAGGCTTTAGAGGACTGGTAAGACTTTGATGGTTAAAGACGAAGTAGAAGAGCATTTTGGATGGATTGAGGAATAGATGGATGGTAGATGGAGAAAGGGTAGGGCTGGGTAATAATGAACAAAGGGAGAAAGGCACAGGGCTTCCTCAAAGAACAGAAAATGAACAAATTTAGAGCACGGTCTAATTAGAGATAAGGCTACAAGGGCCAAGTTTTGGAGAATCATGGGTGGGAGAGAATGGGCACAAACCTATTTCCTTCTCCTGCTGATTCCCTCAAACAGAAAAGAAAAAAGTTACATTTTTGCCTATCTACCCAAAGTTGTTTCCTTTTACGTCTTGGGGCCTCCTCAAGTAGAAAATATGAAGTAATGTTAAACACCATGAAATGAGAGAACAGAAGAACATGGATTTAGAAGCCTTGGTCCCTTCTCTTCAGTTTTCTAATTTGATCTTCACAACCAGCCTACGAAATGGGAAAGGGCGATAGTATCATTATCATCTTATAGATGAAGAAAGTAAGATCATAGTAGGATTAAGAAGTCTATTTTAAAATTTTTACCTAAGATTTGCCTAGTAAAAGCAGAACCAGAGCTTCTATCCAGTATTCTTTCTACCTATTACCCCACAATGGATAGATGAAGGTGGGACCATGGATAAGTTATTAAAGTAAAACTAC